TATTTCATCCCACAAACATGAACTATTCCATCTCCAGATTTGAAAACAACATGTGACACTAATCACAGATTTTTCCCTACTAGAAACCTACAAAGCATCAATTAAGGACAGGGTGTTCTACTTCCCTAGCAGTGTCAGATTTTGCCTGATAAATAACTACAAGGCATCATTACTGCAACCTTTAGTTAAGGTTACAGGGGTCTGTTTCCTTGGTGGTGACTAACCAAACAGTACCCGTATGGAAGCTACAGGAAAAGAGCACCATTCCTCTCTCCTGCTACCTGCAGATTTCATTAATGGTAAGAAGCTGTTATTGTCATCGGTGCTACAGACAGCAAACAAAGACAAGCTCAGGTGAGTGCCTGGGACTTGCAAGAACCACCACATTTCTACTACAATCAGTCTTAATACATAAAATACTCAGAACCTAGTTCAGAATTTCAGAGCCTAAGTTTCTGCAAGAGTGCTATGAGATTTATTCACTTATCAGGAGACAATATTTATATAAAAACCACTCCGGAAGCAGTCCCAAATGCTCCTGAGCAATTGCACTGGTATTTGCAACCCCAGAAGCATTATGTCACTATCCTTGAAAGCAGAAAGCCAGTATTTTGCTGAGAACAGAGGACGCAACTACGGAAAAATTACTCTCCTCAGGTGATGCCTGTCCTCTGTTCAGATGGGATACAGAGCTTTTCTGAGTGGCAAGGTACCAGAAAAGGAAAAGATATTATCCTCAAGATGAAGTTCCCACTAATGTTTGTCTGATGGAAGAATTCAACTTCTCCTTTGCAAAACGGTTGTGTAATTTCTGGAAGAACATAAAAACAGTCCTAATTGATGATGCACTGCTTTTTAAAGTTAGCTTCAGTTCCAATTAAATCACAAGTGGCATGGCTGAGAGCACAGTATTTTCTGCTCTGCTGGGGTGGCTGGGGTCCAGGCCATCTGCGTGGAATGCAAGGCAGGACATTCCACCCTTCCGCCAGCATGTCCAGCGGTGCCAGCCGCTCCTGCAACCCGCCAAGGGGACAGGGAGGGATCTTCTTTTGTTTTCCTTATTTGTTTATTTGCTTTACTCTGGCAGCAGGCAAAGGGTTCTTCTCTTGCCAAGTTCATTACTATTGTAAAATGTTCCCAATTACACTGAGTAAAGCACTACAGTGAGGAGGGGAAAAAAAACAACTTTAAGTTTACAATTAAACTACAGAACTTTTTAAGGCTTGATTTTAGGAAACAGGTGGGAGCTGGATTTAGCATATCTCTCCCAAGTGCTCAAATCCACACACATCACTCATTCAAAACATTTCTCTCAAGTTTTTCAGTGAAGGTTTTGTTAAATTAAAGAAGCATGCAAGTTCTATAGCCTCTTCATTTACTGGTCTTCTACAACCCGCTTCCAAACAAGTTCCAAAACTTCGAAGTTTAATGTTTAGATCTGGAACTACTCAGCCATAGGTGATAGAATAACTACTGTTTTCCAAAGTGACAATCACTTTGTTATTATCAACATGCCTGTATCTTTTTGGCTCTCATTAACTTTCTCCCTCATCCCACAAAGTCCTTGTCCCCCACTCACTGCATACAGACACAAATTGTTGGTGAAACATCTCAGAGCCTCCTAAAGATGACAGACTAATCAAGCAGCAATATTCTACCAGTGGCGTAACAGATTCGGGAAAATCACATCATGTTTTTTCTCAGTGGCACCACAGCCTTAATCAGGTTTTTTCATATGACTCTACTCTGAGGGAGTGAAAAGTTTACTACTTGAAAGCTTAAAAGACAAGATTACGACCTCCAGTTTTATCACTCTGGACATCAAGTTGACTGTCACAGCCCTATATGCATATATATGTGCCTATATGCACAGAACAAGTTCTTTCTCATGTATAACTCAGTTGTTCTGTGCAATTCAAATGTTACATGTTTTCCTTTGAAGAGATTTTATTTACTTATTTGTATCTTGTGTCTTATTTTCAGTTCCAAAATTTATCTATCATTCTCCCACTTCTCAGATCAGTCAGTATTATATCAGCCAGGTATAAGCTGCAAAAGACAGGGGACCTTCCTCTCCAAGAAAGAGGAATCCATTCCTGTGTAACTAGTTCTCCAAGCACAGCAAGAGACAGTAAAGAACTACACTCTGACATGCAGCACCAAGGCTGTCCCTTCCAAGATAAAGATAATCAAACAAAATACAGCACTTGTTTGAAAGGCATTATTCTCAAGTCTCTTTTGCATAGCTGGAGAGCAAGGCATTTGCTTCATATATTAAAAAAGGTAGATGGAATGTAGCAATAACTATAATATACTACAAAAGTGCTGATCACCCCACAAAACCCCTCTGTTTCTCCAAATACATGAAGTTCTAGCAACCAAGAGTTAAACCCCAAAGTCTTCCATTGCTTTTTCACTATGAAAAGAATTTACAGTTACACTTTAATACAAAAGGAAGCAGTACAATCATCAAATCCTTACTGTCAACATTTAATAGATACCCACTTAGGAAAAAGCATGAGGGAAGCATGAGAATAGGAATAGCTTTAAAAGCAAACACACGTCCACCGCTTCCTGAATTAAACAAAGGCACCAAAACTAACCAGGCTGCTGCAGGCCTGTGCCCAGCTCATACCCGCCATGCAGCTCCTGCCCACAAAACACACCAGATGTGAGCATTTCAAAGATTGAACGCTACCCTTTCGTGAGATGTCCCCACATTTCTTAGCAGGAAAGGAACAAGAAAACGGACTGCTGTCTAAATCTGTTTACCTAAAATAAGCCATCCTTACTTCAACACTCCCTCCCTACCCCGAGGGATTTAAGAAGCATGCACTGCCATGATCTGACAAGATCCAATAAACTGGACAGTCTCCCTCTCGCCTGCACAAGGACACAGCTGCTCTGATGCCTCATCTAGGCCTTCCCTGTCCAAATGTCACCTGTACCAGCTCAACCAGATCTTTATTTCAGTAGCAAGTGTTCCACATTCCTCTAATCAAGGCTGCAGTTAGACCCACAGGCAGATAACCAAATCCTGAAGGCTTCTTCTCACACGAAAAGATCAGTAGAAAAGATCAGTAGAGCTTGTGCAGTCCCTTTCCAGCTCCTCCCTCTCTTACAGTAGCTCCGCTAAAACTTGATATGCTTCCCAAGCAGAACTGTCACCAGCTAATCTCTAAAAGCCACCAGCACTGTCCCCCTTCCCCCAAATGGATCCATCCACAGAACAAAACCAGCTGCTCCTGATAAACATACATGGCTACATTTCACAATACACTGGAGACCTCTAAAGCACTGTGCCTGAGCACAGCGTGCTTAGTCCTGTAACAAGTGTATTAAGTCACTGCCCCTCGCATCCTAGAAGCACAAATATTATTGGGAAAATGTGCACAAAATCAGAAATTTTAAGCATGAACTGAGTCACAAGGAATGTACTCTGAATGGCAGCTAGGTAAATTCAGGGTGAACAGAATTAGTCATCTTCAGTGAGTCACACAAAACAGTACAATTTGCAACGAAAGCAAATTAAGAACATTCTGTTATAATTGATTTTAGTCAAGAACTTCATGTAATTTCATTTTAAGTGCCTTTTTTTTTTAAGTTACACACTAGATTTTTACATGCCAAAACATCTGGCTGAGCATGTGGCAATAGACAGTATGTGATACACATCCTACTTCCTAACCTCCCTCTGGTGCCCCGGCCAGCATGAGTTTGCCATCTGTGGCACTAAGAGAGGGAGCACATTTACCATTATTCTTCTATAATCACATATTCAATAAACAGGATTTCAGACCTAACAGCTGCACCCAGCAATTGGCAAAGTGTTTATCTAAGTCAGTCCTTTACCAAAAGATTACATGTGACTATCCACAAAGGGAACGCATCTCTGTCCCCAGGATACACAGCATCCCAGAGTACCGAGCGTTACGTCAGCAGAAAAGAAAAATATAGCAAGAGACAGGCATAACTTGGAGTTGAGGTTTTTGCTGGCTGTTACCAAAGAGGGTGACAAAACACAAAAGAAATTATACAGAATGACTCCAATTTGCATTCACTTTGCTGTGGCAAAGCAACTTGCATATAAAAGAGAACCAATCTAATTTTAGCAGAAAATACACTGATGTACAAACTATTCTTCAAACAGTGATAGTCAAGTTAAAAAGGCTAAGCCTCAGTCAAAACCTACATCTATGGAAAGTGTGCTAAAGCATCTGTTGAAGCATATTAACCACATTAGCATTCCCTACCACCCCATAAAAATCACACATGTACATACAAATCATCACCACATACCCTCATGAAATCTCCAGCAATTAGCATAACCAGCAAGCCAACTTGCAGCTTCTTTCTGGAGCTGCCCTGGCCCCTCTAATCTTCTGCTTACCAGCTTGGTCATCCTGACTGATTACACTTTGATACCAGATTTGAAGTTATTTTTCTCCCACCAAACAGAGGCATGTTCCGTCAGTGACATTTCTGGTTCCACAGTTGTAACAAATGTGAAGAACAACTTCATAGACGCTGGAAAAATTATTTCTCAGAGGATATGTTACTTAACTGAAAATGGATTATTTTAGCCTGGGTTATAGAAAAAAGGTTTCATCTTGTCTAGCACATAACAAGTTTCCATAGCACCTAATAACACAGTTCTACTAATACATCAAGCCAGCAAACTGTCACTACCACCATTACAATTGATCCCACTCCCCCCTCTATCTCTCCAATCTTCCCTCTGTGCCTCTCCCATGCAGAGGTACTTGTGCAGCTGTACAGTGAATCAGATCAGGAATTGATCCCAACTGAAATAAAATGCTGTTTTCTTTCCATTAGTTTTAAGCTGCATCACTAGTAGCAGGATCCAATTCCCAAGCACTCAAGCACTTGAGCTGGCAAAGAAAGGAATAAACAGCTCCAACAGTGAGAGGAGGACACTTCTCACAGCAGACCCAAAGCACTCAGGGAACTATGGCATAAATTGCAGTGTCTTTCTGTGATAGCAAGAATTTTGTTATAGGATACTGTGGTGCTTTTTATAAAGACCTACTACTCCTTGTAAAACTATACCTGAAGTTCAGTTCCACAGAAAATCTTCAAGGTTACCTTTACAGATTCTTCATTTGTTACTTCAGCTTTAGTTGTTTCAGTTGTTTTCTCTCTTCTGGAGAGAAAAGTAAAGCATATATATTTAAAAATTATGTAATTTGTAGTGAGCAGAACAAGATACCAAATGAGATATTTATGCCAAATCTGAAAAAAATTAGGAAGCTCTACAGCTTTTTTCACCTCTCTTCCCATCTTTTCCAGAAGAGAAGGTTTTAAAAATAGAGGAAGGATCACAGTAGAAGTGATTGGGCACAATTCCTGGTGTAGCCAGAGCTCCTGGGCCAAGGATCTTCCAGTCCATGGCTGTGACTGTGGCAGGCATGGTGATAACAGCATTTGTGCTGGGTGGTCCATTATTGTAAATGGCAAAACAAAAATATGCTTGTTTTGCCTGGCGAGGAAAATTCTCCTCCTCCTCCAAGTGATCCATCCCATTTCCCACTTCTCAATATTATAAAAACAATTTAATGTTTTTATATTTTCAACTCCATATTGAGAATTCCACATTTACCTCTCCAGTCGCAGTCATGAAGAATATCAACACATTTGTTAGATGGTTCTTTTTCTGCCCAGCTGCATGGATACTAAGAGAGGGAAAAGCCATGTACACAAGACAGTTTTTTATTGATGTTGATTTTATGCTATAATTTTATACTTTTCATACTTCAGTGTGCTAATGTTTTGTTCAAAATAAAGCTCAATGATACAAAATGATGAGCTAAACCTAGCATTTAATTTTCCAAATAGTACTTGCACATTCTGCATTTTGATACATATGCTAATACCTACTAATTAGAATCATAACAAAGAGTTTAAAGATAGGAATTAGGGAGAGGAACTTTCCAAACCAAAATTGATTAGTTATATGACAAAACAAACATTAGAACCATTTATTCTGTATAATGATGCAAAATATTGTCACAATAGGAGAACTGGAGGAGAATTCTAATAGGAAAAAAAATGAAATTAAAAACCTACATGCTGCAAATTTCACTTTTTATTATTCAGCCTCTAATACTGCTAAAATAAAAAATTATCATCTATATTTTATCATGGCTCAAAACCACAAGAGATAGCACAGTTTCTGTGTGGTACAATACAAAGTCTAGATATGGTATTAGAAATGGGTGACAAACATCATGCAAGGACTTACTGATAAAACCAATACTGCAATATTATGGTTAAATTCTCGGTAGCAAAAATTAGTCTTACTGTTTCAGAGCACTTAAAGTACCAGGGAAGCTTCTACACTCATGTGCTTTTTTACAAAGATGAAGGCATATTTTACTTTTTATCAGCATTGTAACTACATTAGCTTAAGAGGTTGTTTTACAGAAGCCTACAAAAGATGAAGCAATATGATTGCATTGAATGGGAAGATCCTAATCAGTACCTTGTATTAGCAATTTAATACCAAAGACCACTGAGACAGGCCTTGAGGTTAAAATCCATCATCTTTCTAGTAAAACTCCTTTGATACATTCTAAAAGCTTCTGTCTTTGTAATAAAAATAAAATTCCGTCAATCATTCTGCTTTTAGATGAAACCCATAAGCAAAATTATGCTCGCTAGAAATATATTCATATATGTTGAAATCCTGGGAAGTATTTCAGCATAGCAGGAAAACGGTGTCACACTATTAGAACTGCAAATTATATCACCTTTTAGCAAGTGACCAGCAACAGGCCACTCAGAAGTGCTTGGCAATGGAGGAAGGCTTGTTTTCACAGTAGTTAATGCTTACTTTACGGCTAATCCATCTCAATTTTGCAGGCTTGCTTACCTCAGCAATCTGCACCTTTGAAGTAAGTCAAGGGAGAAGTTTATATTCCTGTTCCAGACTACTGCTTTCAGTGTTTGAGAGTTCATCTGCGGGTACCCTGCTCCACAATGACAGCCTGAGTAGTCAAACTGCTACCACACTGACTACATTTTTCCTACTATGAACCCTGAGAAAAACAAACAAAACCCCAATAAACCCAAATCCTGAAGTGCAATTTAGACTACTTAGATACCTGTAGTATACAAAATGCTACTTAAAAAACGACTGTTCCATGCATTAGTTAAAACGACCTTGCTCATCTCTTACACCATGTGCTGTGCACTTCTCAGGAGTCACACACAGCAGATATCCTTGTGAAGCCATATTCTCAGTAGAAGCACCACACTGAAGGAAATAACACTATCTGAAAACAGGATGTGCACAAGGGATTTTGTTTTTTTTTTTTTTGGTATGCACATTCCCAACTTACATCTTCAAGGAATATTTGGGTAAGGGGAGAACAAATTCAAGCCGAGAGCTTTACATAACCAGCAAACAAATAAACAGCGACAAGAGTATGGAACAAAAAGATTATCCTCTGAATACTCTTGTCTAACGGGAAGGCAAAGCCAAGCAGCCCTGCCGGAAACACAAGCTAGAAGCAAACTGTCTTATTTCCTATTGCTTCTGTGTTTAAAAACATCCCCAGTATGCATAAATCAAGATGTCACTGGCAGAGAAAACAGAAGCCCAGCTTAACTCCATAGCTACAAGGCTCTGTTAATCCCTCTCTAACATTCTCACTAGGGTCCCCAGCTTTCTTTTGTTCTCATAATATCAAGCTATGACAAAAAAAACTCTGGCAATGACACATACAGAAGACATTTGTATTCACTTGTCAGATACTGGGTAAAAATATCTCCCTCGTAGTCACAGTAGTGAAAATTAAAGCAAGCAGAGGCCACTGGGGCATATGGACAATCATTCCAGTTTTTTGAACGCAAATTTATTTACAACAGCACCCGAAACACTGAGAACAGTCACAACTGTAGTCTAACATGGACCAATGTAAAACAGCAACATCATTACTTTGGAGCTTTTTTACGATAATCGGTCTTCAGAAACATTCCTAGTTTGTGCTTATGTCAGCTCTGTTTATTATTACTATTGCAAGGTGTAGTAAGAGAAATGCTGCCCTGAGTAGACTTAGTGGAAGGAGAAACTGGAGCAATAGAAAGCAACAATCCTCCCCTATAGAAAGGGAACCTCCTGCTTTGGCACAGCTGTGCTAAAATTGCAGACAGCTTTTCTTTGGACAAGGTGTAACCCACTGAAGTCTGTCAGAGAGGCTACAAATGTTGGTTGCTGCCATTGTGCATCTGAGGAAGCAAGCACTACATGTTCAACTGGTTTTTTTTTTTGTTTGTTTTCCTTCCACTCTCAGATGTGAGCTACTTTCACAATTATCCAAAGAATTTATCAGCAACTTCTTCTCTGTTTTATTTTGGTAAAAGCTATACCTTCTAAAGAAAAGAGGACAAAAGAGACAGCACTTGTAAAATCTTTCCATAATAAAGGCTCATAAGAGTTGCTACAGCCTTGTCTGCTCCATTGGCATAGGACAAAGTCATTCTTTAGATGATACAGGACTTAATCTTCTCCAAGATATTCTGGAGAATGTAATACCTGAATGAGTCAAATTCTATTTTAAAGGAAATGGAATCTCACCAGGTAGTGCAGAGGTACAAGACTCAAATGTTGGACACTGCAATACATACTTCAGTTATCTTTTGAACAGTTAGCTAAATCAATGCGAATTCTTGAGAAATCTACATGTGCAATAACCTGTACACGATATTTTCATAACAATTTGATTAAAAACCTACTAAAGAAGGAAGACAGGGTTTCATAAGCCAAAAGTGCAAAAATATCCAAGGAATATAAGAGGGTTTCTTCCAGTCACTACACATACCTGTTTTATTCTCAGCATGATACCAACAAATCATAGGCAGTATTTAACTGATCAGATACTTGAACTGGTTTGGTTATGTATTAGTCTTTGAAATACCCAGCAGAATATCTTTTTCTTCCACATACTTAGTGTTTGGATGTCTCCTGATCAAGACTTTTCTCCTCTAATTATACTACAAAAACAAAGGCAGGCATATTAAGGTAGTGCCATGGAACTAACAGAAATGAGAAATACAAAGTGTGTTTAGAACACATACTAAGATCCTTCTTGTGCACACACAACACCAACAAAACCCCATCAACAGGGAAAGCACTCCTCTAATGAGGAAGAAAAACCCCAATCATTATTCTTTTTATCACAGATCCTCACCCTAAGCATTCTGTTGGAAGAAGCTTCAGTTTGACATTTACATAATTTTAAATGGCAATTACATTTAGGGAAAGCACCTTCAGTCTACAATCTTTTTATTTCCTATTACCAGATGCTAAAGTAATTCCTACTGAAGGATTATAATTAGTGACCTGGCTTAAACTTTAATATTGTAGTGCATTATTTTGTCTTAATCACAAAAAATTACCAAACTGAAAACAGTTCTTCAGATTGTGACAGAAGTTTATATAAATTTAAAAAGCTTAAGCTCAGAATAACCAAGAGGAATAAGCAAGTTTCAAGTATTTAAACTGTTCACCACAGATTCAAGACCACCAAGGCCAGTGAAGCCATCTGGCTTCTCTGAAAACACAAGTAGATACTTGTCTTTGAAAAAGACCTATCATAAGAAAAACAAGCAAGTTCAATATAGAGAAACAACAGGAGATCAATAATACAACTCATAACCAAACAAGTGGTCTCATTTCCAAGTCTGCATTCTATTCTTGATGATGTTAAAACAGATCCTACCTTATTATTTACCTCCTTCTAAGGATGAAAGAAAAGATGGTATATTTTCACCTCTGGAAAACTAGAAATAAAAGCAAGAGCACCACCATGATTCAGTATAAATATCCTGGAATACTTTAAAGTCCATAGAATTTTAAATCTTCTCCCCTAATAATCATTTCCATCTTCTTCTCTCATTATCATTGCATTATCAAGATGATTAAAAGTTACTAGAAAGATTAACATTTGTTGAATGACAGTCAGAGTCCCAAAGGTGACATTTCAACACTGAACAACAAATACCAGCAAAAGAGTGACTTATGTTACCCTTCAGAACAACATACCATAATTCAGGGTCCCTAAACAAATGCAAGAGTGAAATATGCTAACAAGACAACTGACTTCACGGATAATAAATCTGAAAAAAATTGACTGTAGTCAAAAAGGTATTAATTTAAAACAATGAAAAAGAGGTATCAATTTCTTAAACTTTCTGTCAGACATCTTGGAGGTGAAAACATATAACTAGTCTATGACTTAAAAATCATTAGGAAATGCATTCCATGAGTACTTTAGGTTTTCCAAACTCAAACACCAGCTTTTTTTCCAAACTCAAACACCAGTACATTTAGTACTTTTGTAAAAAGAAATAGATATTGGAAATGAGTGTTACAAGAGGTATTTTAGAAGGGAGGTACATTCTTGTCCCTCTGTAGTAATCAGATTTTTGTTAAGCATTTCAGCTTCCTGTACATGAAAAGGGGAGGTATTTGCA